AGAGAGAGAGAGAGAGAGAGAGAGAGAGAGAGAGAGAGAGAGAGAGAGAGAGAGAGAGAGAGAGAGAGAGAGAGAGAGGGCCGCACCTTATTTTACACAGCCTACAAGCAGAGAAGGAATTGCACACAAGAACACCATATGTTAGACACATCCTATACAGAATGAGGGAATTTCAACAAAGATCGCAAATTACAGACAAGAAGGACCTATCTCCTATACAGCAAGAGGAGAATTCCAACAAGGCAAGACAAGAAAGGCCTATCTCTGACAACAATCCAATCCTTGAGTGCAGATCGAGTAATGACCATACTCCCGTCTGCTTCTCCACTTCCCATGGGGATGGAACACATCCCTATATATAGCTTTTCGTCCGCACTCACAATATATACATTAGGAGGGAGCCCAACACCCACTCCGGATTTGTTTCCGTGCTCTGCTGTTGTGCAGTTTGCACTATAGAGCTGCTTGGCTGGTAGACAAAAGGCGAAGCCTGGAGGAGGTCGAATCCACCACCGCCTGCATTGGGAGAACACATCATATATCAACAGGTCCTTCCCCTCATCGCCGTCAAGCCACAGGTGACAAGGTCGTCACCCACAGTCCAAACAGGCGAATCTGTCCCAGGAGGCAAACTTGAATGGGAATGAACCACAGCAACACCAGACCTCCAACCCCCGACTTTCGCATTTTGCTGCCTACCTTCGCATCTGCAAGGCAGGTTTGATCTTAGACGGACAGCCGCAGGAGGAAGCAGGCATAAGCCTCTTAACACAATACGCACCTGAAACTGACAAACTGAAATCAATCACTCTCCTTCATAACATCTCACGAAGACATTTAACCACCTCAGACGATGTTGGCCGGTCTTTAACATCTGTTGCCCAGCATCTCTCCATCAAATTACGCCAGGGAGGATCACACCAGTCCGGAATCGCTGGCCGCAATGTGTTGTTTGCAATCCCACCTGGACCAGACCAGATGAAGTCAGAACATAAGAAGTTAGTTCAGCGACCAATCACTCTATTTCCGGCAGTTACCCCAACTCTGCACAAAGGAGGGAAGCATAACTGTCTGAGCTCTGCAATGCAGACAATCAAACTTGCAGCAATGTGCTCAGCCACACAGACACACACACACACACACACCAAGGATTCCACACTACACTACGTGAGTGGGATGGAGTAAATAACTCGTCAGGCTCACAATCTGAAAGTTGAGGGTTCACAACTTCACATCCTACTCCAGCACCCATGTGAAGCACACACTTGTGAACAAACAGCACGCACACACCTGCAATCATGGCTGTGCCGGCAACCGGGGTCCAGCCGGAATTCCGGTTGGGCCCAAAAGTGGGTCAAAAAAATAATATATTTTTTTTGAAAACATGATTACTGCGCTCGCCGAGATCTCCCCGAATCCACAAAGAAAACTTTGAAGTTTGAACAGAGAAGTTTCGTTTGGGGGGTTGAGGATCAGGGGTTGAGGGTCAGGGGTTGAGGGTCAGGGGTTGGGGGGTTATGGTGAGGGTGTTGGTGGAGGGGTTTCAGCAACCACAGGCTTCAGCAAACATTGACAACAACGTACCTGGCTTTCTGCAAACGTTAACCTTCCACCCAAAAACTTTGAAAAGGGGGCTGGAGGTGTTAGTGGCAGGGTAGGGACGGTACTTCCCACCCAAAAACTTGGAAAGGGTGGTGGGGGTGATAGTGTTAGGGGGTGCTTGTCATTGCTGTCTGGTCCAAGTTGCCCTCGATACTGGTAGGGTGATGGTCCTGAGTGCTGGTCACACTGAGGTAGGATAGTAGGGATAGGGGGTGCGTTGGGAGCATTGACGTGGGGAAGGGTAGGGAAGGTGGGCTATCCTGTCAGCACGACCACCAGCTGCCGCTGCCAGGGATCACCATGAGTCTAGTCCTTGGCCTCTACAACACCCTGGGCCTAAAATAAATAAATAAATATAAATAAAAGGCCAACCGGGGGGGGGGGAACCGGCCCGGTCGACCGGCCAGTAGGACCGGTCCGGTTCCGGTTGGGGGAGGACCCCCCGGTCCTACCGGGTTTGCAGCCTTGAATGCAATACACGTATGCACAGACAACCAATGCTGGAGTTCACTACCAGATGATTTGAGGCAAATTAGGTCGTCTGCGTGTTTCTGCAAAGGGCCAATCGTAGGTTTCTCTTCGGGGAGGTTGGGGGCCAAGGGGGGCAACTGTGTAGCCGGTGCCTGCGGCCTTAGCAGCCATAGGCCATAGAAGAGCATTTCCCACGGCCTTAGGGCACACAGACTTCCCACCGTGTTTCTGGTCCGAATTTACCGCCAGACGCAGTCCAGAAAGTCCACATGTGAACGCGCGCTGTGTTACCAGGGACCCCCACTTTTCAGCCTCAGGTTAAACCCCCCAGCACAAAGAATTTTGAGAAGTGCATTTAGGGTTTTTTTTTTCAATATTATTTTATTCTTTTTTACCCTGTTTTATTTTTGGTCGATGGTCTGCATGCGCCCTTTCAATGGGACGGGTGGAAGCTAGACAACATAGGTGGTGTGAACTTACTCACCACATGCCATCCAGACCATCCACAAAGTCCCCAAGCGTGAGCACTGGCCTTTTCGTTCCATAGAGCCACAGGTTTGCTGGGTGGGCTGGGGTTGTAGTTACAAGTCTCGAGCTGCGTTTTCCTAGCTAATCTTGAACCATAACTGCTGCCACACCCACTCTGTTGAACCGTATTTTCTTCAGCTCAGTACGCATCAAACCGGGCCCCGCTAGGTTGATACTGTGACAGTCTGGTCTCTGTTTGCGAGATCGCATATTTACCAACGTCCATGATTGCCCTGGTGATGTAGACTTCCTGATTGCCCAAGAATCACTGCAATTGGACTCGTTGATGCACCAACGACCATGATTGAAACCTCATGAGAATAGTAACTTCTATAGAGCTAGGACTACTGGGGACTTGAGGAAGCAAATGTGCTCACAAACTGTGGCTGGGACATAATACCACATAATCCCTTCGCCTGCCTCTCTCTCTCTCTCTCTCTCTCTCTCTCTCTCTCTCTCTCTCTCTCTCTCTCTCTCTCTCTCTCTCTCTCTCTCNCTCTCTCTCTCTCTCTCTCTCTCTCTCTCTCTCTCTCTCTCTCTCTCTCTCTCACACACACACACACACACACACACACACACACACACACAGCAGCACTGGCATTTCACAAACACAAAGTGTATACAGAGAAAGGAGCAACATAGTGCAACAGAATGCCAACGAGAAAGTGCTTACAGGGCTAGAGGTTTGCACTTGCCTACCTATGACTGCACCATAGTGCATATTCCCATACGGAATCTCCCCAGTCAGAAGCTCCCACATTATTATTCCGAAAGAGAACACGTCAACCTGGGAAGCAACAATCAGAGAAACCATTCACTTAGTAACACACACTTTCTTGTCGTAAGTTGACCAGCAAGAGAAGACCCGCATCTGTAGTCATTACAAAACCAACCACACTTTCTCGGGACAAATCGACTAGCAAGAGAACACCCGCATACGTGTTGATTAGTATGATTACACAACAAAGCCCAAGAATTTCACCCACCATTCTGATCCTAAACATCAGCCCAACAACGCTCATGGATCTCAGTATGGAACCTCAGGTACCCATAAACATTCAAAAAAATTGAAAAAATTGAGTTGTGCTGCTAGATTTAAAAAAAAAAGACCTTATGGTTCTGGCAGAATCTGGCTCCATGTCCGTCAGCCCGGTTGCTTTTCCCCCGGCAAGACTGGGCAAGTCATACAGGTGGGCTGCATTAATTACTTCTGGAAGAAGGATGTACCACTCCTCACCCCTGCCTAGGTTAGCCTGTCAAAACTACGTTTGATCCTATTACGTACTGGCCCGCTACTCGGCTACCGTCTGATGCCTCGGGGCGGCTAAATTTTTCAAATTTTTTTTTGCTGTTTTTTTTTTTTGTTTTTTTTTTTGAAAATTTGGACCATTTCTCGACTTATGCGTGTCATCCTTGCGCAGGGTCCACGCTAATCTTCTCTGTATCGTTCCAATTTTAACGGATGTCCCGAAGGACTGCTGCTAAATTTTCTAATGTCTCACTTTTCCTTTTTTCTCCCTTCCAAACAACACCGGTCCTTATAGACCTGGCTCCTGTCCACTCAGGGGAGCAACAGTTCATGGTCCTATTGCCCCCGGCAAGTCAGAAGAAACACAATCAATATGCACACCCAATGCTTCTTTCGTCTGCCGGCAGGACCCCTGATGCTTCTTTCGTCTGGCGGCACGACCCCTGATCAGCACACTGATTGCTTCTTAGCAGGAGGATTAACTTTCAGCCTACCGTGATCCGGGAACCTCTCAGGCCTGAAGTCAACGCCGTCAGATCCTACTTTCTTTACTGGATCCTTCCGAGGTACAAAGCCGGATATCATGTGGGGTCCCATTATTCCCGCCTCAGCCTGTTGTCCTCCACTGTTGCCGCCTTGCCGTCCAGTAGCCAGTCTCTGACGTGGATCTTCTTCTAGAAGCCTGCTTTGATCTTCCCAGGGTGTATTGAGGTCTTTGTCTACTGCCATCTGCTTCCAATCTCCGTTTCTACCAACTGAATAAGGAATGCCCAGGCCCCTCCTTGTCCATCTCCTCGCCATCGACAGTACGAGAACACCTCTTTTCCAGATCATCCAAACGGCAACGTTCCTCAGCAACAGGTACCAGGATTCTGAGAGGCCCTGAATAGCCAGGAGGGTAAATACTAAGGGATTGGGGGGCGAGGAGCAGGGTGTCGTATAGAGAACAAGGAGAATCCAAAGTTTGGTAACTCTTGACTTGACTCAGATGGCAGCCTAGCATTTTATCAGACAGTTTACAGTGTCTTCTTCCGTATTATTTGGCCGCATTTTAAAGAAGGTTGAACTATTGAGGTCTGATTTGTTTCCTATGTTCGTGGAGCGGTTGGTTTACTGGGCGCAGGATGCATATCTCTATTGGCTTGATTTGCGAAATTTTGGATGTGTTTCTTCCAAGGAATCTCGAGCAGGTCGCTAGAGGATAGTGGGAGCACATTTGCCCATGTCTCGCTTATGGCCGGAAATGTGTCTCCCGTTCTCAGCCCACGGTTGTACCCGTCCTCCTTGACTGAGTAATCAGTGATCGAGCAGGGCGACTTGTTCTCCTCCTGATGGCCTTCAGAGCTTCATGGATTAATGTGAAATGAAAAGTTCTTCGGTTACTGTCCCCAGGTTAGGCTTCTGTCTATTTTGCCCTCTTCCCTACTGATTACTGGGTATGAGATGAACTCCACTCAGCATCCTTTTTCCCTGTTCTTTTGGTAAATCGGAAGGCTCGGGAGGATGCCTGCTCGATGCTGCTATCCCCCGGCCCCCAGGTTTCCGCGTGATATTCCTTCAGGAGTCAGATCCATGAGAAGGGAGGGCTCTCGATGACCGAAGTGATGTTGGTTACTAACTAATGAATGGCAACTTTTTAGTGGTATCATTGAGGTCCTCGGGGGGGTCCACGCCTTTCCTGCCATGCCAAAGATGGTCTACTTTCCAGAGGCCCCTTCTTCACCCAAGACAGCCACTTCGTGTCTTCGGCAGATAGGAACCAGCGATTCCCTTCCTCGTTTACCACCCATTGATTGCAGAATCGATGTTCCTCGAAACTTCTTCATTCGTTCTCGGTGGCTGTGTTTTTGCAGTAGGTATTAGAGACCTCTATAAAGCGTAAGAAAGGAGGAACAATGAGGCTTGGAGCCAGGTCTGCCAAAAGCAATCAGAGAGCTACTGGTTGCTCTCCTATTCCTCTTGAGTCGGCCTGTTTCCATTGCCTATTCTTTTGCCATGACCCAGAAAACCCCATCCATGCTGCCCGGAGTCTTTACTCCAAGGTAAGTTTTTAGATACTGTCGAATGTCGTGCATGTCCAAGGAAAGGAAGTGGGGTGTGGGGTTTCGATTATACGTTTCATTTGCAGCACTCCCTGCTCCAGTCTTCTTGTGATGTATTTCCATGCTACCCTGTAAGACTGTCTGCTGGTGTCACCTGTCCACAATTCTAACTTCCATATTTAGCTCGGGAACCATATACTGTCCGGTGGGGTCACCTGTCCACATAAAACATCTAACTTTCGTATTTAGCTCGAGAACCATATAGTAGCCATATACCAGAGGGGTAGAGAAGATCTCTGTTTTTGTGGTCATCACCCACCCTCGGATGGAGGCTAGGGACATTCTGCTCGGTGAGTCTCAAGATTCCCTTGGCTACCAAACTACACATTCCCGACCAGGTGCCTTCCTTATCAATCACAATGACTAAGATATCGCCCGCGGTCCACGCACGTACGTCTGCATTGTTCTCAGGGCGGGGGGGGAGGGTCCTCAGCCAGCCACCAAACAGTTTTACCCCAACTGACCATTTCTGAAGCTAATCTGAAAGCTTCCATAGCCCTCGTTATCGCTTGAAAGGACTAGTTCGAGGCCCGGATGAAGACTGCTATTGTCTTCACCCGAATAGAACGCCCCGTCATTGTCGCTGTATCTAGTCTGAAAGTTGAGCAAAACACAGGCATAATGACCGGGCGTAGCCTGAAAGTTGCACAAAATACAGGCATATTGACCGGGCATTCTATTCCGGTGAAGACGGCAGGTCGACTGCCAACATTAGAGTCATGGGTAGGTTATAGCTGTGTAGTGCATTGGTACATAGAATCGTTAATTTGTCCATCGAGGGGTCTTCCTCACAAAGGAAGCAATCGTCACCAGGATGGACAAAAATATTTGAGGGGCGAGGAGATCCCTTTGGCGACTCGCGTTATTGGCTACGAGTACGATGAGATCCTATTTACTTGGACCAGGCTGTTCGCATCATCCACTTTCTGGAATTCTCACCTACACTAGTAATGCATAAAAAAACATATACCCATACACTCCTGAAGGGTATGCAATTGACTTGGTCATAGGCTTCTCAAAATCGACAAATAGGATGGCTGTTTGCCATCGTTTTTCAGTCATTTTCTTGGCAGGTTGGTGTTTGCCATCGTTTTTCAGTCATTTTCTTGGCAGGTTGGTTCAAGGACACCACATTATCCGGGATATAACTGCTGGTGTAGATGACTGACCCTCACCCTCGAAGAGCTCCTGATGTGTTGCAGCGGTCGTCCTCAGTCTTTGGGTGCTTCCTGAGGAGGAGCAGTAGTCAAGAAGCAGGGCAAGAAGCGTCAGCAGTGATGGGTTCATAGGAGAAAAGAGAGAGGAAGATGATGAACGGGAGTTGATTTTGATGTGCCCTGCACACTTGACTGTGAATAGACTCATCATTATATAATATATATATTGATCCGTAGTGTCATTACCATTATTTAAATTTTATTTTCAGTTTTTCGCCCATCTTGGACTTCAGATTCATCTTTTGGCGGGTGCTTGCCACTCTCGAGGCATAGAGACAATATGCTCTTCTGCACAATCCGGCAAAAACCGTGAACGAAAGATCTATCCTGAGCATGCCCGCAGTCATGTGCCGTGCCCTTGAGCACTCCAACACATGCTATGTGAAGCGAAGAGCAGACCATTTTCATTCTTTACTCGGAGCACGAGCTTCAGCTACATCGCCTAATTGCTTCTGACAGAATCTGACTTTTGTCAAACCGAGGAGGTCGGCTGATACCAGCTTAACACCGAGAGTACAAAACCATGCAGGAAAGTAACACAAGAACAGCAAAACCAAGGGGCAGCTACTTCTGACAAACTCTTCCATGCCAGATAATTTATAATAAAGACAGACAGTGAACAAAAGCATACCTTTTCATCAACTTTCGCATGCTCATCCAGCAACTCTGGAGCCATCCACGGCAATGTCCCACGCAATCCGCCTGTTATCATAGTTTGGAGCTTCAGCTTCGAAAGGCCCAAGTCTCCAACCTGCAGAACAGGAAAGTAAATTGAGCTACAATTTTTTACTTCTCTTTAATTTTGTTTTTAAAAGCAGACAGTCTTCTCCTCATCGGGTGGACAGCTGCATTCTTTTTACTATTCTATTTTCTCTCATGCTTCTTTATCATTTTTTTACCTCACACTACCTAATGCACCTTAAGCCAAGGAGACAATCCTAAGGGTTATGGGGCCACCAAGCGCTACCTACTTGCAGAACCACTGGTCACTTCTAGTCCGGTCCAAACTAGAACCTTACATGTACTAACCTAGCCTCAACTATCCTAAGGTTATGGGTCTATACCTACCTAACTCTGCTCTGTGCGGGGAGCAGCCCCCAAGCTCCTGGCACGGGCCGGAAAGTCACCAAATTCCACAACCAACCACGTGGGACAAGCCGACTCTCTCAGTCGGTGAACCCGAAGTACGCCACACAGGGGAAACAGGCTGTATAGAAATTTGCCGAGACCAATACAGGCAAATATATGATGCCACACCAGAGCACGTCCCTTGCTAGTGATAAAATAACTCTCTCTCTCTCTCTCTCTCTCTCTCTCTCTCTCTCTCTCTCTCTCTCTCTCTCTCTCTCTCTCTCTCTC